AAATAATTATAATAAATAAAAATTAAATTAAATAAAAAAATTTAAAAGATTTCTAAAAACCCTCTTATTGAAAAAAAAAACTCTCAAAAACACCTTCATACAATATATATATATATATTCTTGTTTAATATATAAGGATTGATTCATTTTAAAATATTAAAATTTTATTCATATATAATTATGATAAATAAAAATTAAATTTGATAAAAAATTAAAGAATTCTTAAAAATCCTCCCATCAACAAAAAAGTTCATAAAAATACTCTCGTATGAAATATAAATGTGTATTTAATATATAAGGGTTGATTTTTTTCAATTACAATATAGTGTTCGTTTATTTGAAAAAATTATTAACATGTTTTTAAAATAAAATAAGTGTTTTTCATTTTTTATGTATTTGTTTAATTTTTTAGTAATTAATTTTTTATTTTAAGAAGCAACTTCTATCAGTTTTCAATTTTTTTTTTAAAATGTACTTGTTTAAAACACTTATTTTTAAGTTCAAACAAACACATAGATAATCATTCTTTTAAAAAATTGAAAAATTGTTCACTCTTTTGAAAAAAATAAATTAAAACACTGGTTTGCTTTTTGTTAATATTTTGTAAAAAATACTTTCCAGAGTGTTAAAAAAAAATTCAAAAATTACTTTCTAAAACACAATTTGTTTTTAAAGCATTTTGATAAAAATTACTTTCATATTCAAAAATATTTATTTGCTTTGATACATAAATAATATTATATTTGTGAGGATTTCATTCCTAAATGGTACTGGTACCTTTCCTTTTTAAGTATTAGATTTTTAGTGGAACAAAACAAAAGACAGAACAGAAAAATAAGAGAGTTTATGATTAGAGGCCAAAGAGTGAGGAAATAAAAGAGCAGTTGTAAAATAATTAGTCTATCATTAGCTATAAAGTGTGAAGAACAAAGTAACTGATGAATTTTCATAGCAATGATTAGCATGCAAGAGATCCACCACCAATTTAGAATCCGAGTAATCCTAAACCCTTTCTCCCACCAAAGGCAATGGAAAAATTTGTGATTCGCAATAAGTTTTATCACCAAAAGATATTTATAATTTATTTATGAATTTTTATACTTTAAAAATATCATGTGTTCTTTTGTAATTAAACAATAGCTGGAGGTAAGTTAATATTTTCAAATTTGATATTTTATTTAAATTATTATAAACAATTTGTTGAAATTTAATTTTTTACAAAATGTTATAAATATTTTGTTGAAATTGTGAATAGTGTATGATTTTCTTAAAATCTTAAACAATATCTAAACAAATCTTTATTTATTATTTTTCTTTTCTATAATTTAAAAAAAAAACTTTCTTTTAGTCGATGTGAGTTATTTTTTCTTGATAACCATTCGTCTTAAATCCAATATCGTTATTTTTTTCTAACAATTTTTGAAAGTAGATAAATAACATTCATATTTAGGTCTATAATTTTTATTTTTTTTTGGAGGTGAGACATATTAACATAGTACTACAAACACTAGAAATGTCACTTAAGATGGTTATTTAAATTTCAATTAAACATATGAGCAATTAATGAGTGTCGTGTTTTGAAAAAAAAATAATGAGTGTCATTTATTATTAAAGACTAAAAAAAACATTTCATATTTTGAAGAGATAAAATCAAATACTCACTTTGACCTTGTTATAAAATATAATTTATGAAAAATTGATTATTTTATAATTTTTATAGAGAATTAACTACTGTTTTCATTATCTGTAAATAAAAATAAAAGAAAATATTCTAGAGGTCAATAATTACTAGTATTGGTGCATAACTAATAGTTAAACCTCTTCTATAATAATTGAATGATAATTGATAAGTAATAAGGATAAATTTGGTGTATTATAATATTCTTTTAAATAACTAATAAAAACAAATACTTATATTGATCTTCATGATTATATTATAAGTTTCTTATAATAAGGATGGTGTTGATTTTATAAACATTAAAAAATTAAAACATATTTAAGTTATAGTAAAAGAATATATATTTAAGTCTAAATAAAATTATACTTTAATTTGATTTCTATAATTTAAATCTTGTATAAAAGCTTCAGTTCAAGAATGCAAATATTGTGAAACTAAACTTTAAAACTATATTAAAAATAATATATTGGGCTAGAGGATGCACAAAATAGAGAGTTGGGCAATGGGACTTGAGCCAAGGCTGAGGTTTCCTGGTCCCTAAACTGGAGGGTACAACATGAGGCTGGTTTCACATAGCACCCAACACCTCTTGCTTACATAGATACACACTCTAGTTTTATTAAGTTTCAAAAAGCATATTTTGAAACAGTTGAGGTAGTTAATTTCAAATGTTTACAAATTAACTTGATTATTTAATATAGTGATTAAACATTATGTTATGCTATGAAATTGTTTATACTAATGACAAATGTAATACAGCGAATGAGATTAGTTTTTGACATAGTTAACTAAGGAAGGATATGTATAGCATGACAAAAATTGCTTATAATTTAATTTATTTTATACAATAAAATAAAAAGTTGTATATCTACATAGTATGTTTATAAAATAATGTCGGATAAACTAGAAAATTGTTATATTATATAATTACAAAGTAGATAGATATAATTTTTTTTTGTGGATATAGAGATGCATATTATTCCTAAAATAAAAAAATATCTTATTTATAAAAAAAATGTTTATCACACATTGCAAGTGCTGAAATATTAGTGGATGTGTATTTAGAAATCAAAATAATTATAATAAATTGTAAAATCTAGATATTTATTTCTTTTTTTAAAAAAGCAGTTTGAGCACTTTAAGAAATGAAAATCAGTATTTACTTTATTTAATTTTATTTTTTTCCCCTAATTTAGAGGAGTAAGATCCTGTACAATTGAGAAATTAAGCGGAAAGGATCTGAAGCATAAAAATTAATTGATTTATTACTAAATAAGAGGTATAATATGAATACATTAAGTATGAGCCATTAGATGCAAGTGTATCCTGAGGCAGATTAATTTTGATTACTAAATTAATTGATTAATTTTGATTACTAAATTAATTGATTAATTTTGATATGAAAACATTAACTATGAGATCGGAAATCCATATGAGAGAAGAGCTTGTTTGTACTTGGTTGTTGTTGGCTGATATTCTGCTATCTCTCTGCCTATAGATGTGCTCCGAAACAACGTTACGTTCAAATCAATTCAACATCCAATCATTTTCTCTTTCTTTCTCATTTTTTTTTCTTCTCCTTCTCTTTCCATTTCAATTTCTCCCCTCCTCAAACCTAAGCCCTTCCTTCCCAAACAATTTCTCAATTTCCAATTCATTCTCTCCACTTCCACCATCGCTTCACTTCCACTGGTACGATTTTATGTCTTTGTTCTTTTCATTTTTGCCCTCTTGTTTTTCTGCAGATTCATTCTTCACCATTTGTTATTCCAACACTAAAGAAGCATTTTTTATTGTTTTTTCTTCTCCCTTGTATGCAAAATTGATATTCCACTATCACCTTTACCTAAGCCAATGGAAAGATTCAGATAAAAGCCAAATTTTCACGTGGCAAAATACTCAATCCTTTTATGATACAATAGGCGTGTGTGTGTAGCTTTGCCTCTTTCTGTGTTTTTTCAACAACCCTATAGTTCAATGCATCTCTCTTTATTTTATGTTTAATTACACACTTCTTTGAAACAGTCGAATTCGTCCTTACCCGCGATGAATAAATTAAATAACATTTTTTTAATCTTATTTTATGCTTATTACTGTGCCTTGCTTCAGTTTGAAATTGCAAAAATGTTCACAATTTACCAAAACATGGCCGTTTCCACATAGGAACGGGATTTTGATTGCTCTTCCTTATGTTGTTGTTGGTGATCTGATAATCCACCAAGCCTCGGGGATGACCTTTTCTAAATGATTTTGTTTTGCTTGTTTTATAAATACCCAGATTGGTGAAGTAAATGGAACATGAGGAAGCCCCTATCTTGGAAGAAAGGGCTATGCAGGAAATTGAGATACCCATTGCCTCTGAAAGACTTGATATTCTTCCTATGAAGGCAGAATCATCTTGTAGTTCTGTTTGTTCTTTTTCCAGACATGAAAACAGTGTTGTAGCATCAAAGGAGTCGTCAAAGTCAGCGAAGAAGCTTTCTGGACTCATTGTTTTCTATACCATTGTTATGGTTGTGGAAATTATTGGTGGATTAAAAGCTCACAGCCTAGCTGTCATCAGTGATGCAGCACACTTGCTTTCTGATATTGCTGGATTCTCTATCTCTCTCTTTGCAGTATGGGCTTCAGGTTGGGAGGCAACACCGCATCAATCTTTTGGATACAATCGTCTTGAGGTTTTGGGGGCTCTTATATCTGTGCAGTTAATTTGGTTGATATCTGGTTTTTTAATATATGAAGCAGTTGGTAGACTTGTTCTCCAAAATGCCAGTGTGAATGGAAAGCTCATGCTTGCTATTGCAACACTTGGGTTTGTTCTAAACTTTATCATGGTTGCATGGATTGGTCACGATCATAGTCATCATCATCATGGCTGTCAAAACTCAGGTCATGATCATAGTCATCAACAATGCCATGCAGATCATGATCATGGGAAGGAGGAACTATCTACAATAACTGATGAGGAGAGTGTTACCCTGGTTTCAAGTAGTCAGAGAAATACTAATGTGTTGAACATAAATCTCCAGGGGGCGTATTTGCATGTCATGGCTGATATGATTCAATCTATTGGAGTGATGATTGCGGGAGCCATAATATGGGCTCAACCGGAGTGGTTTATAGTTGACCTTGTGTGTACTCTTATATTTTCTGTTTTATCTTTAAGTACTACTCTTCCCATGCTTAGGAATATTTATGGCATTCTGATGGAAAGGACTCCAAGTGAGATCGATATCAGTAAACTGGAAAATGGCCTCAGAAATATAAAGGGAGTGCAGGATGTTCATGACTTGCATGTTTGGGCTATAACCATTGGAAAATATGTTCTGTCTTGCCACATAGTGGCTGAATCTGGCACCAGTTCCATTGATTTAATAGGCACGATTAAACATTACTGTGAACAAACATATCAAATACAACATGTAACCATACAAATTGAGTAATGCTACATTGTTTTCCCGTTACTTTATTCTCCCCATATGAATTATTGGCAGAGTGAGTTTGATATGCTAAAAAAAATGAAGAATTAGACAGTTTAAAATAATATTCGTGTTTGATTTTAGAAAATGTAAGCATAGGACAAAAGTTTAAAAATTGGAAAACTGTAAATGTTCATCCCATTTTCGGGTGGAGAAAAGAGAAAGATAGAAAGGAAAAAAGCAAAGGTAGAGAAAATAAGTGATACATGCTATGTAGTAAGATAAAGAAAAACAAAAAATGAGAAATCGAGTATATGTTTATAATTATCCTGTAAAATTGTTACTTGAAAGACTATTATGCACAGCACTATCCAAAAGTAAAGAACGCTCCACCATTTCTTCCTCTCATTAATATCCCTCTTCATCCTAAAGTAAACAACACTCAACATTTTCTTCATCTCATTAATTCCAAAAGTAAAGAGCACTCAACCATTTTTTTCCTCTCATTAATATCCTTCTTCTATGTACCACCTGTCTCTCAGTTTTCTTCCCCTGTTATCTGTGACACTCGGCACAAACACCACTACACTTAAGAGCATAATGTGGAGACTGACATTGCTTGCAGGGGGCGGTTAAAGCAACAACAACCCAAAGATGAAGGTTTGTTTGCCTAAAGTTCGTCAAGCTTAGTGAAGACTGGCCATGTTCGTGTGGTGTGAAAGGTGCGGACAGTGGTTGGGCACCGTGAGAACAGTTGAGTATGGGATGTCCTTTGGAGTAAGATATACTAGGCACTAAGGAGAAAAGAAATCAAAATACAAGAAAATGTAAAGGCTTCAAGGTCCTACCTCTTTAACGAATCAATTAATGTTTTTCTCTAATTAAAATTAGAAATTCATCTTAGAAATACATGCTAATCTCTGACATTAACCTTTGCGTCCAGTGTCAACATGAAACTTTTTTTTTATTGTTAAATAACATAGCAAACGTACAAACACTTAAAGTAGATACCCAACGCAAGAAATTTGGTTTTGTACTCTGTTTTATAAGCATTAATATTACTGGATTCAACGATACAAAATTGTCGACATGATTTGCAATTATATCGACTAAGAAATGCTCTCCCCATACTTGATAACTGAGCTACCTCGATAGTTGTCGGTTTAAACTAGTACTTGTAATTATCTTTTTACAAAACGCGGTTCTTGATTAGATTTTGCCTCCAGAAGTAACGAACGGCGGGTTAATATATTCTGTCAAGCAGATCTCAAAGTAGCTTCGCAACAACAATGAACCAACAAAATCCCGAAGGTACGTATAATCTTACATGACCTGACCTCTCTGAAAATGTCAGATTCCCATTAACCACCACGCTATATCGTCAATATGTCAGTTCCAATATTACATCAATTCATGAGAAACTATCACATCACGGAAGAGATAATCGAAAGAAACTAGCAAGACTATTTTATAAATTTCACATACTTCGTTTTCGCAACTCAATGAAGTAAATGTACTCTACATGTGTCTCTCTCACCCATAAAGAAGAGGGGAAAAAAAGATAAAAAGAGAAAGGGGGCAAAACAGAATTGGGGGGAATACTATCTGCTAGCAATGCTTTTTACTCAAATTTCACTTTAAGTGGAGCAGCAGCCTCTCTTTGTATTCGCAGATGCATCCCCAACATTGATGGTGGTACCTTGACCAGGAACTGAGGTACTAGCAGCTGCTTCCTGAGCTGCTAGTGCCTTTTTGCTAACAATATGATAAATCTCTGTCAAAATGGTTTGGAATGCCTTCTCAATGTTGGTTGCTTCCAGAGCAGATGTCTCGAGAAACGAGAGACCTTCCCTCTCTGCCAATGTTTGACCATCATCCCCCGAAACCGCTCTAAGATGGCTCAAATCAGATTTATTTCCAGCCATCATGATAACTATATTAGAATCTGCATGGTCCCTCAGTTCACGCAGCCACCTTTGGACATTATCAAAGGTTTGCCTCTTTGTTATGTCATATACAAGTAAAGCACCAACAGCACCTCTATAATAAGCACTTGTAATGGCACGGTATCGCTCCTGACCCGCTGTGTCCCAGATCTGTGCTTTCACGGTTTTTCCCTCTACCTGTAGACAAATAAACAACCCTTAGTCAGTAGTGCTGTAATACAAACAAAGCTTCCTAATCAAGGTTTCCAAAAATCGATCCATGGCCACAGCGTCAATGATTTTGTTCAATTGATTTGTCCGCAATTTCCAGCATTATTAAGTGTTGCGACAATACCGTAATTGTAATTTATATACCTTGTTCGTAATTATAAATAAATAAATCCGTGTATCATCCAATAACCCTCAAACATAACCAAAAAAATTCACTCAACATCCACTGCATGGTATTAGTCCTAAGTTAATAGATGATAATTATTTGGTTACTGATAATCCGAATTTTTAACTACGAAGCAATCCATCAGAAGGTACAAAAGTCGGGCCAAGACTTCAATCAATTTTTTTAATTATACTATAAATTATAAATCCGAGTCCTCATCCACTCGATCATAGCACCAAAAACTAAAATCATTCTTCCGAGACAACTATTCATACTAGTTGCTATCCTCGGAAGAGAATGCGAGGTACTATAAGCTAATGAATCAATGCTTTGAAACAGAGATTAAAAAAGATAAAATAACATAATCAAATATCTATCTACGCAAAATTAAAGCAGAAGGAAAACATAACAGGACAAAATCCAGACATGTAAAAATGAAATAATCAATCAGCAAAGTTGAAGTACCTGAAGAGTCCTGGTGGCGAACTCAACTCCGATAGTGGATTTGGACTCCAAACAGAACTCGTTCCGAGTGAACCTGGAGAGGATGTTGGATTTGCCAACACCAGAGTCTCCGATCAAAACGATCTTGAAGAGATAGTCATACTCGTGGTCCACTCTATGCGCCATGGCTCCTCTCCCCTCCGATCTCTGGAACCTGCGAGATCCAAGAGCGAATATTCATTCAGATCCAAAACGGCAGCGTTAGGAGCGCGAAACGAAGCAACGGATCTACGAAGGAACTGAATCGGAGAGGAAGAGAACTCACCGTGAGACGTATTGATACGAGACAGCGAGGGATTAGTGAAGGAAATGCGTTGGGTGAGGTTTTAGTTGGCGGTAGCTGAGCGAAGTAGGGAACTTGAGAGACGGTTGGAATAAGCGAAGGAACCGCAGAGGATTTTGGTGATGAAGAAGAAGAAGGAGGCTTTTTGAGAGGAGAGTGGCCGAATTGGCCAATGGGAGAAAACGGAAATGTCGATGAGTGAGAAAGCAATTCCAACGCCAAATAAATAAGTTTTTTTCTTTTTCTTTTTTTAATTTTGGGAGAAAAATAATAATTTAAATTTGGTGTGGTTTTTATATCGTGGAGGGAAGGGAACGGTGTCGTGTTGGGAAATGGGACAAAGTCCGTGGGAAGGGTAGAGTAGAGTGCCCTTTGCCAGTTGCCACTGTTTTTCCACGTTTTTCTTTGTTGGCGTCTTTTCTTCCTTCTTGCCAGATCAATATCCTAACCAATCACAACCTTACTTCCTGACCTTGCAAGGCTTTAAAAAAAAAAAAAAAATTAATGAGGGGAATGGAATGGAATTTCAGCAATTGACCATATTTATTAATTTTGAGGTCCATATGCTTTGTCACAGTGACATTCTTATGCTTATGATCTTGTTTTCAATTCACCAATTTGTGTTTTCTTTTTTCCGATCTCATGGGTTGATTTTGTTTTAAGAGAAATATTAGTAGTATACTCACAATTTTTCTGATTTCTAATTTTTTTTTAGAATGAACATGATAGATATGTGCTATTAGTATTTTTATGCTTTTAATCTTGAAAAAAGTAATTAGTGAAAACTCTTAATTACAAGAAAAATTAAAATTATAAATATTAATCATATAACTTTAAATGAATAATTAAAATTACAAAAAGCATATATGATTTTTTTAAATTATATGATCGTTAACTAACTTCAATCTTTATTTTTTTTTACCTCGATCTATAACCTATGTAATTGAATGGTTTGGGTTCATAATTGTCATGTTGACAATAAGCAATAGTTTTTATGTAAATATGATTGAATTATTGATATTTATTCATCTTACCTTTCAAAATTTTATTAAATGTGTTCATGGATACTGTATATTTACATATCAGATTAAAGTTTAAAAGAAGAAAAAAAAATAGATTACAGATAATGAAATGAAAAGTTTAATTACACTTTTCTTGATATTTATTTATTGCAATAATGTTTTTAGAAATTTTTGTTCGATGGGAGTTAAGGATTTAGATTTGAGTTCAAAATTGTCGTGTTGATAATAAACAATAGTTTTTCTATGAATATGGTTGGATTACTAATATTTATTTATCTTACCTTTTAAGCTTTTACTAAATATGTTTATGTGTACAGTATATCCACATATCAATTCGAGGTATACGTAGAAGATAAAATAGGTTGTAAATTAAAAATAATAAAATAAAAGGTTTAATTACACTTTTTTTCATCTGTGTCATGTGTGATAGTATTTTAAAAAAAAAATTATGTGAAAGTTTTTATGATTCTTTTTAAACTTTTTATTTAATGAACTTATTTATACTAAATATAAATTTCTATCTTGGACAATAACGTTTTAATTTTTTTTAATAAGATACTTTTAAAGTTTTTTTAATTTAGTTTTTATTTGTCATTATTATTTATGAATTAAAATTTAATATTTTTAAATGAATTATCAATAATAAAAATAATATTATTATACAACATAAATTATTTAGCATAAATTTAAAATACAATTTATATGTTTAAATATATTTATTTATATATAAAGTTTAAATACATATTACATATTCAAACAAAATGTTTGTTGTATATATAATTTATTACAAATTTTAATTATATATAATAAATATTTAGTCACTAAAATACTAATTAATTATATTCTTCTTCAAGTTTTTTTGACCGAAATAATAAATTTTAAATAAATTAAATTTTATGTTTTATTAATCTTTACTTCACAAATTAAATTGATTAATCTTTTATTTAAAAGTTATCAATTTTAATATTAAAATTTTCTTCAAATAAAAAAATCCTAATCTCGTAACTTTATATAT